CAATTTCAAGCTGCCCATTTAATATCACTGAACATATTCCTGGGAAGAAGTGCATGGTAGCACACCATTGTACGTCAAGAGCATAGGTGATAGTAAAATGTATGAAAATAATTAGAAAGGGATTTCTTTTTAGTATTATCTATATTTTTAAGTACAGTTTTAAATTGAAGTTTATATAATTTTAATAATGGCTATTAATAACCAGTTTGCAAAATTCCAGGATATTTAACAATCAGCTCAAACAAGCTTTGTTCAGGCAAATGTTATGGTGCTTTCAGCTGCGAGTTCAGCGTTAATGAATTAGCAATATATATTACATAAAAGTGTCTTTAAACAAAAACATGTGTAAAACAAAGTTATGTATTGATCAGTTGATGAAAACACTGTGGCCAGAGGCTCTCAGGAAACCAGCCGCGTATTTCTCACGGGAGAGGTAATTAACACGGAGTTTATAGAACACCACCACCGAGAGTAACAAGAATCAAGTGGATCTGCCTTTTTGGGGATGCTTTTATTAAGACAGTTCTGCACTTACCACAATGCCTGAACACAGTAGGAAAGCCCTAGAATGTCCCCTTTCTTCTGCATCTCGCCTTCCCTGCCTGGGTAGTCTGTGCTAAACCTTGCAGGCTAGCTCAGTCACACCCAACAGTTACGAAATCTACAAATAACAAGTGTTGTTATTGTTGGATGCTCGCCTCCTTCAGGGAGGTGTTATGGAATTAGTGATCATCCATCAATTCACAGCCCATGAGATGCCTTTGAACAATACAAAGAAAGGTGTTAACAGTAACAACACAAAAGAATTATACTCAGTCAGGAAGTTTGCCTTCCTCCCCAAGTTTCTCCCCTGGCTGAAGATTGCCAATCCCTCATCTTTTTTCAAACTGCTTTCCTTAAAGGAAACTGGAGGCTTTTCCTGCACCAGAGCTCAGTAAAATCTTCTACCTCTCATTCTCTGTCCAAACTCAGTTTGTTGCCTGAGGGTTGAATCCTCAGTGATGCTCAGTCCTTTCTTTCTTCCAATAGCCGTGAGTCCATCACCCTGCCTTATCATGTGATGCCCACCACACCACTGCACACACCATTGACCTGCTCCAAGTTGGAGCAGTTTTTCCAGTCATTGTTAGGATCGGCATTATTTAAAATAATGTTCCAGTCATGGTTAGTATGGGCATCATTTAAAAAGCCATGTTCTTTTTTTCATGAAAAATGACAGCATATCAGATTATGCTACTTCTCGTTTAAGTCCTTGAAAGATTTCCTGTTACTCATACCTAAAACTTGCCCTCCTTAGCCTGGCACACAGACTCTGTATGACCCATCGCTCCCCAACTGTCGAATGTCAACACCTGCATTCTCCTCCTTGTTTATCTTGCTTCATCACACTGGCCTTTTCAGTGCTTCTTGAACTTACAAGTCTGTTCCCACATCAGAACCTTTGTGTTTCAGGCTTCTGCTGCCTGGTCGATAGCCATCCAAGTTTCCTCCTCCAGCCACCCGTCAGTCACGTGTGTGCATGTGTGCGTGCTCAGTCGTGTCCTCTCTGCAGTCCCATGGATTGTAGCCCACCAGGCTTCTCTGTCCATGATATTTTTCAGACACGGATCCTGGAGTGGGTTGCAGTCCTCTTCCATGGCATCTTACCAACCCAGGGATCAAACCCACATCTCCTGCATCTCTTGCATTGCAGGCAGATTTTTCCCCACTGAGCCACTGCGGAAGCCCCCCTGACAGTCACATCTCAGCCCAAATCACCTGTCTGTAAGGTGCCTGTGACTGTGTAGTCTGAAGAGCCCTGGCAGAACCATGCAATCGCTTCATTTCTTCATTACTTTTATCCTTTGTCATTATGTGACATCAATGTGTTTTATGGGCTAAACTGTGTCCCCCCCCCCCAATTCATATTAAGTCCTAACCCCTAGCACTTCAGGAGGTGACTGTTTTTGGAAATAAGGCCTTGAAAGAGGTGCTTAAGATACTTTTCACATTTATGGATTCTATGTACATTTCCCTAAAAGTCCCTAAAATAGATTATGTGTATGAATCAGTGTTTATTGCAGAAGATAGAGGATGTTAACTTTTTGCCAAATTACAATACCTTTGAAACTTTGTTTTTGCCCTTTTGTTGGAAAAAAAGAGATTAATATAACAAAAATTTCACCAATGGTTAAAAAAAAAAAGGTGATTAAGGTAAAATAAGGCTCTTAGGGTAGGCCGTAATTCAGAATGACTGCTGTCCTAAAAAGAAGACATCAGTACACAGACAGACACACAGAGAAAAGACAGTGTGAAGACATATAAGAAGGCAAGCCAAGGAGAGGGAACTCTGAAAACAATCAACCCTGCTGACACTTTGATTTCAGACTTTTGTCTCCAGAGCCAGGGAAGCGGGGGAAGTGATAAATTTCTTTTAAGTCACCCTGTCTGTGATATTTTGTTATGGCAGCCCTGACAAACTAATGTTCATCTTTTGTTGTTGTTTTTGTTCTTCCCTTTCCTTACTAAATTGTAAATTTCATGAAAGCAGGAATTATGTGTGTCTTATTCACCCTTCTAGTCTTAACGTCTACAACAATTCCTAGTACCGAATGGGCTTTCTATAAATATTTTTAAATGGTTGATGATTGAATGATGCATGCAGGAACGTGAGCCTTTGCTGTTCAAGTTATCTCTAGCTATGAGTTTGCTCAAACTCATGTCCATTGAATCAATGGTGCCACCCAACCATCTCATCCTCTGTCACCCCCTTCTCCTCCTACCTGCAATCTTTCCCAGCATCAGGGTCTTTTCTAATGAGTCAGCTCTTCGCAACAGGCGGCCAAAGTAGTGAAGCTTCAGCTTCAGTATCAGTCCTTCCAATGAATATTCAGAGTTGATTTCCTTTACAATTGACTGACTTGATCTCCTTGTTATCCAAGAGACTCTCAAGAGTCTTCTTCAGCACCACAGTTCAAAAGCATCAGTTCTTCGTTGCTCCATCTTTATGGTCTAACTCTCACAGCCATACATGACTACTGGAAAAACCATAGCTTTGACTAGTTTTATTATTCATTACTTCTTTAAAAACAAGCCTAAAGAATTGCTTCAATACTTGTTGTGAATCCCAGAGCTTAGACCTTCTTAACCCATTTTCCACCCCAAAAATCTAGTTGATTAATTCTCCCAGCTCTTCAACACCCTCTCTGCTGAGTTCTTCTGTTTGTTTCTAGATACTTCTCTAACCTGCATCTTTCTCCACTTATGTCCTGGGTGCCTGGATCTGTGAAGCTGGTAATGCAGGTAGCTTCCCTTATCTGAGTCCTGCCACAAACCCTTCAACTTTTCTGTCCCTGGGAACCAGTGTGAGGATGTGGCCCCCACACAGGGAAAAACTTGGAGACAAATTGAGAACTCATGCTCATCTTGCTTCCTAAGTAATGCAAGGAAGCTGACAGCTTCCTTATTGCTGACAGCTCACCTCTCACCAGTGGGTTCTTGTTTCTCCAACATCTTTTGTGCCTTGTTAATTGCCAGGCCCTAGACAAGTCTCTAGAAACTCCACCAGAAACCAGCTTTATGCTGGTTATTCTCTTTGCTCTTCATTTCCACCCCCTACCAGATCTCTGCTCCGCATGTGGGAGACTGACCCCTTCTGTTCACATCTCCCTGGGCTCCCACTGGGAGCTTTTCAGTGAGTTCAGCCAATGGCGGTGTGAAGGTGGGAATAAAGAGAGATATCAGAGGATGCTGGCTCCTCATTCAAGTTTCCAGTCCCCACAGGGCAGCTTCTCCACACCACCTCCTTTCAATGGCCTCTGCTTACAGCCTAGGGTGGTAACTGCTTCCCATGCTTGCTCGACTCTGGGCGTTTTACCATCCCATGTCTGACCTTATAGTCCTACCCAGGCCTCTGAAAATAGTCCTTTCATTAAGTTTCTTCCACTCAACCATCTAACAGTGACTTCTGTTTCCTGCCTGGACTCTGAAAGACACTTTACATAATGTTCAAACTGCAGTGTTTAGGAATGATATCACTTTTCTTTCCTCAGGTTACAGCAGCTTTGGGGATGTGGTCCTCAGGCTCCATTCACTGAGGCGACTGGTTCTGAGGGACCGCCCTGCATGCTGGTGGCTGTCGGGCTGCCCTGCCATCTTTCACCATTGTTGGCGTTGCTGCCACTGCTCCGGGTGAAGCAAGCACGGGGCTGATGGAAACAGAAAGCACGTGTACCTGGATAGATGTTTCCCAGAAACATCTAGGAAAGATGGGGCCTTAGATGGGCCCCATCTAAGGAAGGGGGCCCAGAGAAGCTGAGTTGCATCATGATTATTTGGGAGAGATGCTTGTAGAGTTATAGCATAGGTGCGACGCTACGTTAACAGACCTGGAAGAGTTACTGGCTTCCCCAAACGGTGCATCGCTAATAGTCTTTTTGTGCCTCAGAAAAATTTTGGTGGTTTAATTTATTACAGTAACTCATACTTGGAGTCAGAATGTTGTTGGGGGTGGTTATGATATGTGTAAGATTTTTAATAGGGTGTTTGCTTAATTTTTTATAATCCTGGTGGTGGTGGGGGTGTCTGGTTGAATGTCAGTGCTATTTTTATAGCTCTTGAGATAGGATGACATAAGCTTAGAGCAGAAGAGCAGCTGGGGGAGACAGAGTTATACAGGAAAGACAAAGAGTCAGAGAAGATCTAACAAAGTGGGGCGCAGACCCTGAGATGTTGTCAGTCAAGCTCCTATGAGCGCACATTCTCTGAGGGACAATTTTGTGTGTGTTGGGTTTTGTGTTGTTTATCCTAAGTGCCTTTTTTATAGCTTGGAAAAAATCAGTACAGTTTGATATATTTGAACTGATAACTTTGTAAATTCTAGTTTTTCAGAATGAAGTATTACATAAAATTTAACTTGGAGCTTTTATATCTTAATTGTCAAAGTGATATTATAACACAGATATGTTATATATGTATATATAACATATAAATATGTTATAAGTCTGCTGAATTAACCTTTGTTAAGTGGAGCACAGGGTGTTGGATGGTGAACCAACAACAGAGTCCAACAGACCACAAGAGAACTTGAAATAGAGAGGTTTATTAGTCACAGGTCCTGGGGGAAGTACATGGCGCACCAGAAGGGGCCACACGGGAAGGCCAGGCAGAGTACAGACAGAGAGAAAGAGACAGGAGCTGGGGCACATGCCTTTATTAGGGTGCATGGGTGCAGAGCCTTGGAGTTCCTGGGCTATGGCCAGATCGGTCAATTCAAGCCAAAAGAAAGAGGTTTTGGTAAGCCCCCTGCCCTGGGGAGGGTGGGTCTTATCTAAGGGATGCATAAGGCATACAAAAGCACTGGGAGGCAGGAGACTGTTGATCACAAGGGCTGTTGGGGAAATCATATCAGGGAGTTACATCTGCTTGTGACTCTGGGCTGCTATTCAGGACATGCACCTGTATGAGGGGCTAGTGTCAAGCTATGGTCCCTGCAGGCTGTTTGGCAAACAAAGTGGATGCTGAGATAACAACACCATCAAGTAGCTTAGCTAAATTCTTGACAAAATAACCTATAACAATATATATATAAAACGTATAAATATTACATTCCTTTTTTGTAATCATAGCGACTACTGGGATTTGAGGAGGCTTACAAGAAAACTGTAGGATGATGTGAACACTGAAATGAATCTTGTCCAGGAAGATGTGGTATATTACCAATACAAGTTCAGTAGTGCTTACAGAAAAGGGCATTTACACTGTACTCTTAAGACTTATCTTTATTATGAAAGTGTTTTCAAAGTAAAATGATCCTCATAATAATGACTGCTTCCAGAGATCAAGAATGAATAATTATATTTTCATATAAAAATCAGCAAAATACAGTAACAATACATAAAATAATTCTAATTGGCTAACAGTACATCATTCCATTTCTGACAGAGATGCTTAAGCACTGAATTGTCTCAAAAAGTAAGGTTTTGTCACCTATCCTATTTCTCACTGCAAGTTGAAAAAAATCAAATCCCTAAACTAACCACCTCCCTTCTGCAGGACACCAAATGGCTATGGAGGTAACTTATTATGTGGGCAAAAAGGAGATGAAAATCATGAGCTTAGAGGCTTTATGAAACTTCGGGAAATCAAACTTGGAGGCTATTTTCCATGTTTAAATTAAAGAAGCTTGAAGTTAAAGTTCCAGAATCACCATATAACTGTTCCTATTACAGAGTGAATTTCTATTTGGCACCTAATCTTTAAAAACCCCTATTTTTTAAAGGGCAGATTTACAGTGACAGTTTAAAAAAACTGTTGTAGATCCAAAAGAAAAAAGTTGTCTCTATAAAACCTAATTTTCACTTAAAATAGAAATCACACCAACAGCTGTTGTTCCCTGGTTTCCAGGCCATGCAACACATACCAAAATAAGAAGCCAAGCTCTCATTGACTTGTGTTGAGGAAAACAGGCTCATAGGAGCACAATATATATATTTTTTTAATGGAATCAGAGAAGGAAGTGTGATACACAACTGATCCAATGGTTATTGGGAAATTGATAGCAGATAAGTGACAATATTTTAGATTCATTTTATTAAGAGTTCCAGATTTAAAAGAAGGTGAGTGAAAGATAAACAAGCTAGATCTTAGGCTAACAGTCCCTTCCCATTCCTTCCTGGGCACTCTTGGGAATGTCTAGTCTTGTGGAGACATCATTAGCATGTGTTATCTGCTTGCAGAGACTTAGTATATCTTTGATTGGATGGGGATTTTAGCTTATGGACATTTGGTAATGTGTTCCATTCAAAGGCTTCAGGTTGAACTCACGTTGGAAAGACTAAGGTATTCTTTTGGGTGATTACAGATGTTATTAACAGCTACTTATAATGTTTTATGTTCTTTAATATAATTTTCTCCATAAAAAACAGCATCAGGTATGCTTCCTGTGAGCGTATGTTAGGCATTTCAACAGTACAGAGTGGACAAGTGGGCAGGCCTCCTTAGCATCTACTGAACGCCCCCTAGGGGACGGGAGGGGACCATGCATACAAATGCAAACCACAGGGCCTGTTTCCAGCCTATTAAAAATGAAGAATTAAACTGTGTCCACAGTGAACCAGTGTTAATTACTATCTGGTAATTTGTAAATGGTACAATTTCATTTTACCAAGACAAATTTAAACCTATTATGGGGACAACAATAATGTCACTTAAAAAAATATCCTGCTGCATTTTGCATTAACTGTTTGTGATTGACAGTGCTCCTTTTATGGACAGGACATAGCTGCAGACTTTGATCTGATTTGTTCTTATTTGAACACTAGAAACATTTCAGGGCTACTAATATTTATCTACAAAGCAGGAATCAGCCAAAGACAAAGAGAGGGGAAAAAAGTAAGCTAATTAGAATCTTAAGACCTCAAATAGCATGTGAAATGTAAACATTTAACCTCTTACTTCTAAAGAATTTCTTGAAACCTCTTTGGACACAACGCCATCATAGGACATACTAATAAAGAGAATTATTTAATACCTTTGTAACTATTCTGTATAATTTTCATACTTCAAATTAAGAAAGAATACTCAAATATTCAGGCAACTTTGGCATTAACATCTCCAAGTTAACTACCAATGCAAAAATCATGAACAGCTTGGAAACAATCATGGGTGCCCATAAAGTTCTCTTGGAAGAGCTCTTTTTTAAAGACTCAGGTGTGCTGAAATGAAATATGATTTCTTACTTTAGCCCAAATAACAATGAGGTTGAAATTACAGAGTGGAAAATTCAGACCGTTTCTACCCAAGGTGCAAGTGTGCAGTTTGCTCAAATTCAAACTCTGCCAAATACTCAGAATGAAAAGTTTGGCAACAGAACAGGACATTTTCAGGTTTACCTGTCATTTTGGCTACAGGTGACCTGATTTTATCCCACTAAAGAGTTATTTCTCTCACCCAATTGCATGTTTACTTTGGAGAGCCTACCTTTCTTCCTAGTTCATCTTTGTCAGATGCCTGTTTCATTATCTGATGGTATCTCAGGACACTATCTGTCCAGCAGTTGAGCAGGAACTGAATGTTAATAAAATCTTGGGTGAAGCAGAAATCTTGTGCATTTTCCTCAACACTTAGTTTAAATAATCTAAAATATGAATAATTGCTCCCCTACTCTCAACATTTGTAACACTTAATTTGGAAATGGGAACTACTTAGATGCTGACCTTAGGGCCTTCATGATCTGAGCTCTGAGGCAAAGAGGCTGAAAGGAGTCTTCCCCTCTCAGCTGTGGATGTGGCGTGTAACAGGCAGTAAAAAGGGAGGTGGGAAGTTTCTATTGCACATGGCGGATGGTTTTCATGAAAAGAATATGGATAAGGATGAGTCAGTGACATTTTGGTTTTATCATGTTTTTCTCAGAAACCTACATGTACATACACAGATCACACATTTTTATATCATTTATTGACCCAAGGCCAAAGTCTACTTGAATTTCTACATTTCTCTCCCTCTAATTGGTCTAGAAAAGCTATAGAATTGGAGAATAAAATATTACTTTTTCTAGATTCCTTCCTACAACCCCTTTGTACCTTGGGAAGATTTGAATATGACCAGGACAGGCTAAGTCAATTAATGGGAAACAACATTCCTACTAACCTACAGCTGACATTACAATATATACTTCCAAAGCTATGGCCTGGCACCGGTAGAAGATATGAGATCTCACATATTTTCGCTCTCAGGCTTATCAGGCCACCATGGGAGAGCAGTAGACAGAGATACATTATTCTTTATCTCAAAAGACCTACAAGCACCATTTTGATGAATCAAAAAGAACTCTTTGCCTTAAAATGTAAAATGAAATACAACTGTATTGATAAATAGAAGACTGCGTTGTTACTGTCAGTGGTCAGGGAGGCTCTGAGAATTCCCAATTCTCCTTCTAAGTGACTTATGGGAAGAACAAAAGTCAGATGTTCAGATGTCTTTGCTAAGGACAGACAATTTTCTTCATGTCATGCAAGTCTTCTAAACCTTTAATTTACAAACAGATCTTTTGAAATTATTCTTCTATGCTAAATAGTGTCAAATGACCCAAATAGAAACACACTGTGGCTTTCTGGTTTATTTCACCCATCAGAGGACTTGCTCTATATACTAAAGCAAGGCACGAGGCTTTCTTCTATTCCATATTTTAGTTCCATATTTTAGAGAAGAAATTTTCACCTTATCAAAAATTTTCAGCTATAACACACTTGCTGGTTTACTTTTTATATATCTGCATTTTAGCAGATGTTCAGATGACTTGACAAGTACTTTTCATATTTAATGATTGGTCTTACAACTTGACCATCCATAAATTACTCTCCTAGACATACCACTGTTCTGTGAAATAAAATAATAAGGTTTTCCAAGAAGAGTTAATTATACCATTTCGTCAACAAAAAAGCAGACATATTTCTAAGGCCCTTCAGTCATTACTATGGACCATACCAAAAACACACTATTTTATAATTAGGTGGGAAGAGATTTAACATTATAGTGTGAGGTTTTGTTTGGGAGCATTCTTTTAACTATTAACAATCATGGTGCACATTGTGGGCACAAGGTTTTACTTCAATTAAAAAAGAAATTGAATTGAATGTGAGTGACTTTGAGCAGGACATGTACTTCTTAGTACTTTGCTGTCCCTTTCACTCGTCCTGACCTGCATATTGATATCACTGCATTATGGTTTTGGACTCTGTTTCAGGAGACGGTCTTCCTGATTTATGAAATAAGTATTTATAATAACTTTTTATTCCCTTTTACTAGAAGTTGGAAGAAAAGAGATAAAATCTTTGGTTTATGTGTATGGTTTTCTTATCTCTACATAAATAACACTGCCCTGTAGGAGACTACGGAAAGTTATTTTTTTAGTATTCTTTCTCATTTGCTGAGTAGAATTTTTGTTGCTTTTTTTCTGGAAATAGCTCCATTTGAACAAAAATTCCTGGAAAATGAACAAGTCCTTCAAAGAAGCAGACAAAAGGACCTCCAGTGTAACACTGCCCAGTTTCTAGTAACAGGAAGTTCTGTTATGTTAGGGTTATATCTAAGGAGAAAAGACAAAGGGTAAAATGGTCTTACTCTCACTGGCTTTATTTTGCCCAGGAAAAAAAAAACAAAAAAACAGGATCAAATACTAGATAGGGTGCTTTCTTGAAAGCTGGTTGCAGTAAAGTGCTTTGCACTAGAGGTGACTTTTGGCAACTCTTGGAAGTCCTCTTTTTCTGTCCTCAAATATATTTAGCTTCTTTTTTTCATAACATAGCGGAAGACTGCACTAGTTAAAGGGGTAGTGGTAAAACCTGGTTGAAATCTGCTGCTCTCTTGTATTATTCTCAGATCATGGGACAAATTCCCAGCAGGAAGACTGATTTCTTTGTTTGTAACCATGAACTTAAGTCTTCCCTCAGAGCTGGAGCACTGACCCCATAATGGAGAATTTAAAGAAAAGTCTCTGTAACCTAAAAAATTAACCCCCCAACTAGCTACCATCCTCACTGAAGAAACTTTGGCTGTGTGCACAAGAAATGAAGTCTATTCCAAAGCAATTTAATGCACACAAAAAAATTTTAAGTCCTCCAATAGCCACACTCTATTTGGAACAAGCTAATTGACCATGAAGGGCTTCCCTCGTGGCTTAGTTGGTAAAGAATCTACCTGCAGTGCAGGAGACCCGAGTTCAATTGCAACCCACTCCAGTATTCTTGCCTGGAGAATCCCATGGACAGAGGAGTCTGGCAGGCTACACTAGTCCATGGGGTCGCAAGAGTTGGACACGACTTCACGACTAAACCACCACCACCACCAACTGATCATGAAAAATGACAATTACAAGACTGAGCTCATCCTGTTTCAACTTTACCCTGGGAGAAAGGTCACTTGAGACTGAATAGGCCATTTCAGAACGGGCATTGTAACATAAAGAGAGCAAACCTATTTGGAGCTGCACGAGAATCTTGCACTGGGTTTTGCTTGTTCTAAGTGACCAATTAAGCTGATGCTCCTAGTGGACTAGGTCACAGCAAGAAAGGGGTAGAAGCAATGGAGCATCTCCCTCACTGTCATGAACCCAGAGAGTAAAAGGAGTGAGGAAACCCTCTTTTGTCCACAGATTTACAAACAAATACAAAAAGAAAATAAATAATATTCTAAGACAGTACAAATGCAAATACCGTTCCCTTGTGTCAATTACATAAAGCATGCCTACATATATAGAATGGTAATTCTTCTTCATTCACAGACAGGACATATGGCAATGCACTATTCAAAATGCTTTGATAAATCCTAATTTTTGTTTCTGGGGCTGAGAGATTATGAAAGGAACTGCATTTGCAATTTATTAAATACTTCCAGGAATGAACAGTTCACTTTGTTTGGGACTCGTAGTTTTGAGTAATTAATCATCCATGGCACAAGCGCCAGTGAGGAGATAACCGTTGGTACCGCTGGTCCCGTTGGTGGTGGTCGCAGTGTGGGGGTTCTTCCCTGGAGGTTCCGAGTCCTCCTCATCTGAGCTAGACTCAATGTCACTTCGATCATCCTTGGACACCTGTGGAACACAAGAAGGTGAGTGCAACCAGCTCTGAAGAGATCATCAAGGTATAGCATGCTCAGAAGTACATGCAGTCATACGTAAAGGAAAACATCTAAACATTAAAAAAATCAAACAGGATAGGAACATTGCCAGAGCAGTAAGTTCCTCTTCCTTGGAGATAGACTTTGGGGCAAAAAAAGTCAGTGATCAAGGAATGTAGGTGGATTTAGGCATCACAGGGAGTTAGCCTTGCTGACTTCCTTAAGTTACCTTTGGATATTCAGAATGTACTAGACCATGAACCCCACTCAAACTGGCAAAGGAGCATACCATACTACTAGAATGGCACTATAGGAATTTGGTACAAATGAAATTATTTATTCTTTGATGATCACATTCTCTTTGAGAATCCTTTAGAGTCAGCTCTCAATTAATTACACTAATGGAGATATTTACTAGCTCTGATCATTAAAACATCACTCTTATTTGGCTTTTTAATGTATTCTTGTATGATTTAATTTGTCTGTCTGCTAGAATTAAGTAGAAATTTTGTTTTATAAACAACATAACAACTAATGGCAGCAGGAGGCATTTGGGGTACTTGCTGGGTAAGGAACAGTTTAAAATATTTCCCAAGAAAAATCTACTGACTGGATCATCATGAATTGACTCCCATCATTCCAGAGTTCTTCCATCCTCCATTCAGACTCATCAAGTCATGAGGATAACTTGGCATCAGGATATAAGTCTACACATTACCATAAAGAATGAAAAAAAATCATATGGTCTATAAGGAGGTAATGCAGGAAGAAATTAAGGAAATACTCTACTGCTTTTAAATTAAAATAGTTTGTACCTCCTACTTTATGCCTACAAACATAGTGAACATTTATCCCAACAGGCCTTAACAGCTCTGAGTAACTGCGGGGCATGAACTTCTTTTCTAAGGATGGTGGTAATAGGGACCTGGTGGCTTGTTTGGCTTCAAAGAATGTTTCCCAATCTAGTCCCTTATGATTCTTTAAGAGGTGGATTGAAAAGCTGGCAGAGTCTCCTGGGAAGCATTTCAGAATGAACTGAGGGACTTCCCACATCTCATTCTCTCTGTGTCACTGCTACCCTCCAACTGGAGAACCCCGGAATCCACTGCACTCCCAACTTGAGAAGCCCCCATTCCTTCAGGACAATATCACCTCTCTCAGGCGGGGTGGGGATGGGAGAAGGTGAGAACTGAGGACTGCTGCTCCAGCCTAAGCAGCGATGATTGAGTAAATATGTAAAAATGGATCTCACTCTAATGGCCCTTGAGATGAGACTTAGCTCACAAGGACCATCTCCAAGATTTAGATACTGAAACACCAAAAGGACTAGATTATAAGGATACTTTAACTTAAAAATAAAAGATGGGTCACAAAGACAGCATTAGAATAAAAGCTCCACTACATTTAGCAATCCATTAGTTGTAAATTAAGCTGCTAATAGGAAAGAAAACTCCAGTTTCAAAGAGTGATTAATTTACATTTGCATGCTTAGTAAGATTATTTTTAATTGCATTTGGAAAAAAATTTATACTTAAGTTACCTTCAAAGAAAGGAACAATTTAGAGTATCTTAAAATAACGCACAGGAATATAAGGCCCATGACCTTATACCTGGTATACAATATACCTGGTAGAAATAGCAGTGCAATAAGGACACAAATTATCTAATCTATGGCCCCCTTATGTTTTCAGTTACCATTATCACATTGACAGTATTGTGCAATTTGTATGCAGATGAGGACAGGAGAGGTTTTTTGTTGTTGCTGTTGTTTGTTAGTAGAAGTACATGCTCATTTTAGAGTAGGAAATCATAGAGAAAAAAGCAAACTTTTGCTTCTAAACAATTCATTGCTCTAACTATTTTGGATTTACACAGGAGATGATGCCAAGTATAGGCTTTATACTATGTGACCGATGCCCCGAGCCCCCGTGGCAGGTGCTTATGGAGGACAAAGTGGTCAGGTGCTGTCCTGCAGCCCAGGGCATTCTTAGCAAAGAGCTGATGCTCAGACCTCACTTCTGGACCATGATGATCCTCTCCTCAACTTAGTTCTGCTTCTCCTACTTTACTTCAGTCTATTTCTTTTATTCAACCAACATGTTGAACACCAGTGAAAGAAATCCACTTCTTTCTCTACTATCATGCAAAATTTAGCAGAATGCAGGCTCACAGAAAAGGGCACTAACTGAGCTGTCCCTAGCATCCCTCACAGCTGCTGGGAGCCACACACCTTGGTTAGAGCCTCCAGACAGTGTCAACAGATTAGACAGAAAAATATGCATGGAAACAAAAGCGCCAGAGTGTGGCTCCAAAAGGCTAACGTGGAAGCCAGGATGGAGAGAGAGGTGAGAAACTTACATGTAAAGGGTTCCACTTCCCAGACTTCCAGGTGGGCAGAAGGAAGAGAACAAACAATGAAAGTAAGAAAATGTTGCACAGAATGTTCCAGAAAAGTCACTGCTCTACAGAGAGGGGTTGAGGCCCAGGATGCTTTATTATGAGCCCCATTTTTAACCAAAGAGATTTAACTAAATATTTAAATGCAAGTTATAAATGGTCAGAATGCATCAAGTAACACTTCTCATAAAAGAGTTATTAAATTTCTGTTTAATATAAGTATAATCAGAGAAGAACCAAAGGAGATAGAGAGAGGGAGAGCAGAAACACAGTAAATAATAAATCTCCATGAATCTAAAATTATGAATGCAGATCATTCAACAAAGCAATGCAGATCACTCAGCAAAGCAATACTACATGTAAAAAAAAAATCACTAAGAGAAAATGAAAATTTGTATTATGTTTCCAAGAGGTTATGCTAAACTTTGAAGGAGAAAAAACAGTTTTGATGAAATTCTAAATAATAAATAATGTTCTTGGTGATTTAGAAGAACAACAAACCATAATTTTCGGTGACATATTAGAAAGGGCGAGTGTTATCTTACCTTGCCTTTTGAAATAGCTTTGCAAGCTATTTTTATGATCAAGTAAGACCAGAAGCAGTTCAAACCTTGTATTACCAACAGCAGTAGGTTAAAAACCCACCAGGAAGGATAAGGTCCAACAATCTCCCAACTTTCAAACAATGTGGTATTTAACACCCTAAGGAAAAGGAGAAAGTAATCATTGAACACAACTTTTCACTGCCTTCAAAGGAACTCCAGTTACTGCAAAGACGCATGAAGCCAGTGAGAGCCACTGACTGCTCCCTTCCAAGGATGGTCTGAAAGCTAAGTACTTCACCTAAGAGTCATCACCTGGATGATTCCACCAGTGGCATCACATTCCTTAGGATTCTAGCTTGAATCATGTACTTAGGTTCCCCTTCACTTTTGTTGTCATTTCTTCCATTAATTTCCATCACGGTTTTTGATTGATTCTATTTCTCACTACTTGTTAAAAGGCCTGTACTGTCCTTGTTGCTTTGGGTCTTTAAGTAAGTGTGAGGAACATCATTCAGTAACATTACATTGCAAGAAAAAAAAAGAGCAGTTAATTTCAGAAACACCAGTGAAGTTTAAACTATATGACTAGCATAGTGAGAGCTGGCATATACTTAAGACCTAACCCCTGTCCTCAAGTGGTTTATAGCCTCGAAGGAGAGCCTTAATTTGGGGCTGGGTCCATATTTTGTAAGCCTTCTCCTGGGAAAGAACTGGCAACTGAAAGATATTATATGGAAGTGCTGTCTTGAGATGAGTGTTGGAAGGATTTTTTTTAAATTATGAGAATATACCAAGTATACTTAGTTTTAAGAGTATGTACTTAAGGCAGGCAGAAGTATTTGAAGTAATTGCTTCTTTCGTGATCCACCATCAGGACCAGGATGGAGCAGCCACGTGGGGCAGATAAAGGATACAGGATGGCTGGTCTCAGTGAGTCACACTCATCCCTTGGATGTGTCCAAGGGATGTGTCCAATCACCCACTGGAAGGTGATTTTTGCCTTCTGGACTCAAAGTGCTGTCACATAGAAGCTCAGCAGTCACAAGAGTTTGGAATTATTCCACTTCCTTGCCTTCCTCCTTAGCTGAGTGCTGGGCTGGTTTAGAGATCTCAGTGGGTTAACAAAACTCATCTAAGTGTATTTCCACCACTGTCACTGCAGTGCTTTGCCAGGACCCTACAGGAGAGGGTAGGTGGACAACACTTGGTGACTAAGGGAGAAGGATGGAAAACTTTTGAAGGCAAGACCACTCATGCAAGAATAGAAGGCACATATACAGTAAATTTTAATATAAGAGTGTGATTAAAGTTAAGAAAAGTATTTAGTAAACTCACAAAAGGAAAAAAAAAATTGAGTTGAGATAAGCGATAAAGAAAAAAAGGAGAATAAATACTAGAAAAACAGGTCTATGTCCAGTTTGCATTCACAGACCAGAATGAGACAGAGTGTGATTCTAATCCTACCACATAGTTACCTCTCAAGAACAATGCTCAACACACGTGAATGTTAAAATCCTAAAATTGATAGTATGGAATTTAATTTGACAATTCATTAAGAGTATATTACTCTATGCTATAATAGTAGTATTCATTCTGGTAGAAGAGGACCAACATTAGGAAATCTATTAATAAAATTATCACACATCCATTGGCCAAATCAGTACAAACCTAATTATTTCAACTGCACTAAAAGACATTTGGCAATGTTCAATTCCCCATTGCTGATATTTAAAAACTGAAACTCAAAGTACTTAATGTGATTTTTATCCCATTCAACTCAGCAGTGGTCATAATATCAGAGTTATTGACTTTATAATCAGGAACAGTCAGCATCACCATTATTATTTAACCCTATTCTGGAGGTTCCAGCTATAAAGTATGGTAGAAATAATAGGTATTAAATTTCTATAATTATAACAGCAAACAATGAAAATTTCCAATAACAGGGAGTAGTTAAAAATTATAAAGAAATTCTAGAAATTATTAAGCCACTCAAACTGGTAATTATGTCTGAAGACTTTCTTTTGATAGATAAAAATCATAACATCCTTTTGAGTTTATTTTTGTGTATGGTGTTAGAAAGTGTTCTAGTTTCATTCTTTTACAGGTGGTTGACCAGTTTTCCCAGCACCACTTGTTAAAGAGGTTGTCTTTTTTCCATTGTATATCCTTGCCTCCTTTGTCGAAGATAAGGTGACCATAGGTTCGTGGATTTATCTCTGGGCTTTCTATTCTGTTCCATTGATCTATATTTCTGTCTTTGTGCCAGTACCATACTGTCTTGATGACTGTGGCTTTGTAGTATAGTCTGAAGTCAGGCAAATTGATTCCTCCAGTTCCATTCTTCTTTCTCAGGATTACTTTGGCTATTCGAGGTTTTTTGTATTTCCATACAAATTGTGAAATTATTTGTTCTAGTTCTGTGAAAAATACCATTGGTAGTTTGATAGGGATTGCATTGAATCTATAGATTGCTTTGGGTAGTATAGCCATTTTGACAATATTGATTCTTCCAATCCATGAACACGGTATATTTCTCCATCTGTTTGTGTCCTCTTTGATTTCTTTCATCAGTGTTTTATAGTTTTCTATGTATAGGTCTTTTGTTTCTTTAGGTAGATATACTCCTAAGTATTTTATTCTTTTTGTTGCAATGGTGAATGGTATTGTTTCCTTAATTTCTCTTTCTGTTTTCTCATTGTTAGTGTATAGGAATGCAAGAGATTTCTGTGTGTTAATTTTATATCCTGCAACTTTACTGTATTCGTTGATTAGCTCTAGTAATTTTCTGGTAGAGTCTTTAGGGTTTTCTATGTAGAGGATCATGTCATCTGCAAACAGAGAGAGTTTCACTTCTTCTTTTCTTAGAACACTTTCTAATACCATACACAAAAATAAACTCAAAATGGATTAAAGATCTAAATGTAAGACCAGAAACTATAAAACTCCTAGAGGAGAACATAGGCAAAACACTCTCCGACATAAATCACAGCAGGATCCTCTATGACCCACATCCCAGAATTTTAGAAATAAAAGCAAAAATAAGCAAATGGGACCTAATGAAACTTAAAAGCTTTTGCACAACAAAGGAAACTATAAGCAAGGTGAAAAGACAGCCCTCAGATTGGGAGAAAATAATAGCAAACGAAGCAACAGACAAAGGATTAATCTCAAAAATATACAAGCAACTCCTCCAGCTCAACTCCAGAAAAATAAATGACCCAATCAAAAAATGGGCCAAAGAACTAAACAGACATTTCTCCAAGGAAGACATACAGATGGCTAACAAACACATGAAAAGATACTCAACATCACTCATTATCAGAGAAATGCAAATCAAAACCACAATGAGGTACCATTATACGCCAGTCAGGATGGCTGCTATCCAAAAGTCTACAAGCAATAAATGCTGGAGAGGGTGTGGAGAAAAGGGAACCCTCTTACACTGTTGGTGGGAATGCAAATTAGTACAGCCACTATGGAAAACAGTGTGGAGATTTCTTAAAAAGCTGGAAATAGAACTGCCATATGACCCAGCAATCCCACTTCTGGGCATACACACCAAGGAAACCAGATCTGAAAGAGACACGTGCACCCCAATGTTCATTGCAGCACTGTTTATAATAGCCAGGACATGGAAGCAACCTAGATGCCCATCAGCAGACGAATGGATGAGGAAGCTGTGGTACATATACACCATGGAATATTACTCAGCCATTAAAAAGAATTCATTTGAATCAGTTCTAATGAGATGGATGAAACTGGAGCCCATTATACAGAGCGAAGTAAGCCAGAAAGATAAAGACCATTACAGTATACTAACACATATATATGGAATTTAGAAAGATGGTAACGATAACCCTATATGCAAAACAGAAAAAGAGACCCAGATGTATAGAACAGACTTGTGGACTCTGGGAGAAGGCGAGGGTGGGATGTTTCAAGAAAACAGCATCGAAACATGTATATTATCTAAGGTGAAACAGATCACCAGCCCAGGTTGGATGCATGAGACAAGTGCTCGGGCCTGGTGCACTGGGAAGACCCAGAGGGATCGGGTGGAGGGGGAGGTGGGAGGGGGGACCGGGATGGGGAATACATGTAAATCCATGGCTAATTCATTTCAATGTATGACAAAAACCACTGCAATGATGTAAAGTAATTAGCCTCCAACTAATAAAAATAAATGGGAAAAAAAAATCATAACATCCAAACTCCATAAGATAAATATATATTTGCATATACACACAGAGAAAATGAAGAGAATTACAATTCATTGGAAGAAATTAATCAAAGCCATTTTACACCTTCTTCGGTGGATTGGGGAATTTTGCATTTTCTTATTAAAAAATTTTTATTTGTTTACGTATTTTTGGCTGTGCTAGGCCTTTGTTGCTGCTTGGGTTTTTCTCTAGTTGACGCAAGCAAGGGCTACTCTCTGGTTGCAGTGTGAGGGCTCTTCTTGTTGCAGAGCCTGGGCTTGAGGGTGCACGGGTTTCAGTAATTGCAGTGCCTGAGCTCTAGAGCACAGGCTCAGTAATTGTGGCGCACGGGCTTAGCTGCTCTTCGGCATGTGGGATCTTCCCGGATCAGAGATTGAACACATTGGCAGGCAGATTCCTTACCACTGAGCCACCAGGGAAACCCTGTATCTTCTTCTTTACATTCTTCACTTTTCCAAATCCATCACAAATAATTAGGAAAAAAATACAAGTTTTTTTTGGAAAAAGGAATAAGTATTCCTGTATTCCCAAGAGGCAGCCATCTCTTTATACACCAGGCTGCAGGCTCCGGGACAACTGGTCTAAAGAAAGTTCAACTTCTGGATAGTGAGAGAGGACTCCTACATCTCAATTTTTTCTATCTCCAGCACCTTGCAAAATACTGGGAAGTAATTTGCTCACTGGACCTGCTGGCTGATAGACCGTGTGTTAGTTCAGTAATCAAATAAATAGATATGCATAAGACAGCTCTGGAATAATCACAATAGTTTTATCTCAGAACCAGCTCTGCTTCTTGACATATTAGACATGTTGACCTTCAGAGGGAATTTAGTTTCATTTGAACAAAAAGAGGTCTTGTAGAAACGGCAACAATGACTGTGTGATGCTATGCATTATAAATTAGCCTTTGCTGAATTATGGGTTTGAGAGCCTT